AAAAAATTTTTTTAAAAAAAGTTTCTCGTTTTTTTTGATGCATTTTATGGTTTTTTTACCTATAATCCTCTTTTTTTTTCATTTATACTTAAAATTTTTTTGTTGTTGCCGTTTGTTTTTTTTAGAGGGAAACAAGCTTTTTTTTGCTTAATCTGAACATTTTTTTTCCGAGTACATTTGAATTTTTTTAAATTTATAACTTATTTTTTTTGTATTATTTTTGCCATTTTTTTAACCTTGAAAGCATTTTTTTTTGGTGCATTTGCCTGGTTTTTTTGATACATTTGAAACCTTTTTTTCTCATTCTCCATTACTTTTTTTCATGCTCACTCTGCTTTTTTTTCACAGGCCTCCTTATTTTTTTTTAAAAAGCTAGCCATTTTTTTTCAGCCGACTTTGGCATTTTTTTTTACTCTATCTAGAATTTTTTTCCTTAGGACTTCAGCTTTTTTTAGCATTTTGTTTCCCTTTTTTTTTTCTTAGTGAGAGATTTTTTTGTCACTTTATTTAAGTTTTTTTCCCACCTCCTAACACTTTTTTTTACATGTACATACATTTTTTTTCTCTTTCATCTGAATTTTTTTTTTTTTCCCATAGTACTTTTTTTTTTTTCACATACTACTTTTTTTTAAAACTTGCTAATTTTTTTTTTTTGTTTGCTTCCCTTTTTTTTGCATAAACCCTACAATTTTTTTTTTCCTACAGTATTTTTTTTTTGACATATTCAAGTGCTTTTTTTCACCTAGAATAATGTTTTTTTTTAGTAATTGATAAATTTTTTTTGAATGGAATAATCTATTTTTTTTTTTTAGAAAGTCTATTTTTTTGATCTTTTCAGTGCTTTTTTTTGAACATTGACATTCCTTTTTTTGGCATAGATTTAGATTTTTTTTGCCTTGTTTTCTTTTTTTTTTTTGCTAAAAAATACCGTTTTTTTTTTGAAGAGGAAGGCTTTTTTTTTCTGGGATGTGTGCTTTTTTTGTTCAGAGTATTCAGTTTTTTTTAAAACAAATTACCATTTTTTTTTATGTACTTGTAAATTTTTTTTGCAGTCTGTAGCGTTTTTTTTGGAGCATTATGGGTTTTTTTTTTTTGACAGGGATACCTTTTTTTCACCTACTTTTTCAATTTTTTTTTCCAACTCGGCAGCTTTTTTTTCCAAATATGTGGTTTTTTTTTGGTCAATACAAAACATTTTTTTTACAAAAATTCTGTCTTTTTTTAGGTAGCTTACTAAGTTTTTTTCATCTGAATCAAACTTTTTTTTAAATATCATACTGAGTTTTTTTTTCAGTATTTGTTTATTTTTTTATAAGCTAAAAAATATTTTTTTTCATTGGGATAGCTTTTTTTTTAATAATGTATCTCTTTTTTTTTATATGCAAATTAATTTTTTTTTTTTTTCCAAACTATGTTTTTTTCTGAATACTAAATCTTTTTTTTAAGCATCTTTCTTTTTTTTTTTAGCAAAGTTTTGTGGTTTTTTTGGTATACCTGCCCAATTTTTTTGAGAAGGCAAAAGTTTTTTTTTCCAGTCAGAAGTTTCTTTTTTTTGCAATTCTCCTTTCTTTTTTTTGGGATCAAGTACCATTTTTTTTCAAGCAGATGGCACTTTTTTTGGTTCGTCACCTCACTTTTTTTGTAATATTAATTAAATTTTTTTTATGCACAGTAACTGTTTTTTTAATAGGGGTAACACTTTTTTTTTTTCTTTATCCTATATTTTTTTGTTGGCTAAATATAATTTTTTTTATAAAATACAGAAGTTTTTTTAAGGCACTGGAAATGTTTTTTTGTAGAAAACACAACATTTTTTTTAGCACTTTAAACTTTTTTTTTAAACACTTGAAATAATTTTTTTATATATCAGTAAAATTTTTTTTAAAAATACTTTCAGATTTTTTTATTATTAACTACTGATTTTTTTCGTAGATCTTTATAGTTTTTTTAGAATCTTCGTATGATTTTTTTTTTGTTCCAAAAATATTTTTTTGATATATTGATTTCATTTTTTTTGTAACTACATTTCTTTTTTTTTAAAATTAATGCCATTTTTTTTAAACTAACTAAATAATTTTTTTTTCAAATAAACCGACTTTTTTTTCTACCATTCTTATGTTTTTTTATCCAATGGGTGTCATTTTTTTCCAAACTATCAAGTCTTTTTTTTGGGAAAAAACTGTTTTTTTTTCAGAGAAATATTCCCTTTTTTTAAATCATAGTTTAGCTTTTTTTTTGGACAAATGTTACTTTTTTTTATACTGCTTTCATATTTTTTTTCTTTCTTTAATCTTTTTTTTTCAGAGCTAGTTGAATTTTTTTTGCTTTTATATTAGAATTTTTTTAAGTTCAAGAATTTCTTTTTTTATATCAAATGAAGTCTTTTTTTATTTCTTGCTTCAAGTTTTTTTGACTTCTGTCCATGGTTTTTTTTTATTACATTTACATTTTTTTTTATTTCCTAGATAATTTTTTTTAAACCCCAGATTATTTTTTTTTGTTTTCTATGAGAGATTTTTTTCTATTGTAAATTTTATTTTTTTAATATCTTTTTAATCTTTTTTTTAGAGCCCACTCGTATTTTTTTTGAAAACCCAGGTGTTTTTTTTCATGGATCTCAGAACTTTTTTTTCGGATTTCAAGTGGTTTTTTTAGCTATGTCCATTTATTTTTTTACTAGGTCAAAATGCTTTTTTTGTTCATATGTATATATTTTTTTTGACATAACAAAAAGTTTTTTTCTGTCTGCATTTATATTTTTTTAAGAAAGGTAACAGATTTTTTTAGAGTAGAAGTAAATTTTTTTTAAAAGTTTTAATAAATTTTTTTAACTGGAACATAAAGTTTTTTTAAAACAAAAAGAGAATTTTTTTAGTTAGCATAGGAAATTTTTTTAAGCATTAGACAGTTTTTTTTTAAACAGTAAGAGTGATTTTTTTAATGAGTAAACTCTATTTTTTTATATGGGGACAGTGATTTTTTTTAAAGATTGAAGAGTTTTTTTTAGAGACTTCTGAGATTTTTTTTAAATATATAAAAATGTTTTTTTTTCAATAAAGCATTATTTTTTTATATGACATTGGTGTTTTTTTTTAAAATGGTGGGAAATTTTTTTAAAATAACCATAACCTTTTTTTATACAACACATAGCTTTTTTTTTATATTAGAATTCTTTTTTTTTCCCAGTCATATGTGGTTTTTTTTCTTATTCTCTCTTTTTTTTTTTTCGATTTTAGGTAGTTTTTTTGCAACTTTTCAGTTATTTTTTTTCCAAGGGGAGCCAATTTTTTTACTGATTCCAAACAGTTTTTTTCAATTTACACATTACTTTTTTTCCCTGTGTTGCCGGGTTTTTTTAATTGTGCTATTCTGTTTTTTTTTCAGTGTGAACCTGTTTTTTTTCCATTTCTAAAGGATTTTTTTATCTGAAGGGCCATATTTTTTTGCTAAAAATAGTTTCTTTTTTTCTACAGTTCAGGCACTTTTTTTACATTGATTTGATAATTTTTTTAATTCTTCTGATTTCTTTTTTTCCTGTTCGGATAATATTTTTTTGTAAAAATGAGTCTGTTTTTTTTATATTGGTGTTTTTTTTTTTTTTTAGATTAATATCTTTTTTTTAGTTTTTATCAGTTGTTTTTTTTCCTGAAAAATGGGCTTTTTTTTGCACAGCACTAGTCTTTTTTTTATGTACAAAGAAATTTTTTTTGAATGTGACTTGCTTTTTTTTTAGAGCAAGTTGATGATTTTTTTTAACAGAATACAAAATTTTTTTGTTAGTGTCTGTGTATTTTTTTAGGCTGATTTTCTAATTTTTTTTAGTTTTTTTTTTTTTTTTTTTATTATTTGAGATAATTTTTTTTAGAATGATTAACATGTTTTTTTAAACAGTCATCCAACTTTTTTTAGAGAATCACTAACTTTTTTTTCTAAGGATTGTATTATTTTTTTTGAAAAATGCTGTAATTTTTTTAACCTAACCCTGAATTTTTTTTATTTGGGCTAATAAATTTTTTTTAAATCATTATATTCTTTTTTTATAAATATGAATAGATTTTTTTTATGGTAAAGTCTAATTTTTTTCAATTATATAACTATTTTTTTTAAATATATTTTGTGTTTTTTTTTAGGGAGATTGGCTTTTTTTTTTGCATATGGCAGATATTTTTTTATATATATACACATATTTTTTTAATCTGTTAACTTAATTTTTTTAGATCTAACACAATATTTTTTTATATAATTCTAATTATTTTTTTTTTATTGGTGAATTCTTTTTTTATATGGTTTTATATGTTTTTTTCATCTCGAGCCATTGTTTTTTTCAATTGCTTACAAGTTTTTTTTGAAAGCTGTTTGGAGTTTTTTTAAGCCTAAAGGCATTTTTTTTTAGGTATGTCCAGGCTTTTTTTTAAAGAATCCAGGTGATTTTTTTCAAGCCCAGAATGCATTTTTTTGCTGCAAGTACTCAGTTTTTTTACTACTTTCTGTTTATTTTTTTCATAGTTTCTCTCTGTTTTTTTGCCATATGGCCAAGATTTTTTTATTTCTATTTACATCTTTTTTTCATACAGAAAGTGATTTTTTTTATCTCAATTACAAATTTTTTTTGAGAATCAGAATGTCTTTTTTTTTGTATTCATGTTGGTTTTTTTAGATGACCAGTAGTGTTTTTTTATGCAAAATCACAGCTTTTTTTAAGCCCATTTTGGGGTTTTTTTAGAGAAAGTTATGAATTTTTTTGGCACTTAGATCATTTTTTTTTTTTTATCTTTAATGCTTTTTTTTGTTCACTCTCTTTTTTTTTTTAGATTTATATAGTAGTTTTTTTGACATCAATAATTATTTTTTTTCAAAAATATATCACTTTTTTTTAGAAATGATGAAAACTTTTTTTTTGAAAAAAGTATTCTTTTTTTTTTGTCTTTTTATTATTTTTTTGTAAATTGGAATAATTTTTTTTAAAAACAGATTGGTGTTTTTTTGAATAGCTGTCAAAATTTTTTTTGCAACATCAGGGTTTTTTTTTAAGTAAATGACAAGCTTTTTTTCACACTGCTGTATCGTTTTTTTAACTGTGCTCTGGGCTTTTTTTACTACATTATTTGGATTTTTTTCTTGTTATGTAAAGTTTTTTTTAATATGAAATGTTTTTTTTTTTGTTCTTTAGATATTTTTTTTTTAGATATTTAACCATATTTTTTTTAACCCTACCAAGCTTTTTTTTGTGATTATATATGATTTTTTTTCTAATTTAAGTTTGTTTTTTTTATTAGTATCCTAGTATTTTTTTTGAGGTAAATATATGTTTTTTTGTGTTTTGTTACCTTTTTTTTTAAACACAGTGACATTTTTTTTTAAAGTAAAAAAATTATTTTTTTTTAAAATCTTCTTGTTTTTTTTATAAAGAATAATAATTTTTTTTTTCTTAAACCAGGAATTTTTTTACCAAAGTTGATGCTTTTTTTTCAAAAATTACTTGCATTTTTTTCACATCTGTTATACCTTTTTTTTTATGATGTTGCCTTTTTTTTTCAATTTTATTTATTTTTTTTTTCAAATATCTTTTATTTTTTTTTACCTCAATTTTTCTTTTTTTTTATGTTTTGTATAAATTTTTTTTGAAAAACATAAATTTTTTTTTTTAAAATGTATATATTTTTTTTTAAGCATATACGTTTTTTTTTTTTTAATTATATATAAATTTTTTTAGTTCCTAAGAACCATTTTTTTTACTCCAGTTAAACATTTTTTTGATATAAGAAGTCAGTTTTTTTTAAATGCATTGATAATTTTTTTAGCATGCCAAGTGTCTTTTTTTGTGAAATCTCATGGATTTTTTTAATAGAGCTTATTGATTTTTTTCCAAATGTATGCAAATTTTTTTTTAATCCTATTATTTTTTTTTTAAATTTTATAATTTATTTTTTTAGATATAACATTTAATTTTTTTGAATAAGGTGTTAAATTTTTTTAGTGATATTTACTAATTTTTTTTGTCTTAAAAGTCTATTTTTTTTTTATACACAGCATGTTTTTTTAAATCAATTTAAAGTTTTTTTTATTTAAACATTGGTTTTTTTTTAAACTTGATACAGATTTTTTTTAATTCTTGTTATAAATTTTTTTAATATTAATTTTTACTTTTTTTTATATGCAAATAACATTTTTTTTTAGTAAATAATGGTTTTTTTTTGTACATAAGTTATTTTTTTTTGAATTTTTTTGAATTTTTTTTTATAAATTTTTAGAATTTTTTTTCCTATTTTTCTACAATTTTTTTATTATACTATGCATGTTTTTTTTCGTTCAGTCAGAAGTTTTTTTCAAATTGGAAAAGGATTTTTTTCTATGTAAAATACACTTTTTTTTGGGTTCATCACTGATTTTTTTATTTATTAATGCACTTTTTTTTAGAGAAAATTTTGTTTTTTTTTCTATAACAAATTCTGTTTTTTTAATTTAATCAATTATTTTTTTTGTATAAATCTTTGTTTTTTTTTAGGTATAAGTATTTGTTTTTTTGACAAAAATCTTAATTTTTTTTGTTGGTGATACACAGTTTTTTTTTAAAACAGATTTTATTTTTTTTCTATAACATTTGGTTTTTTTTTAAAGCAGTTGTTATTTTTTTTTCAAAAAGCTTACAGTTTTTTTGAAAAATGTCTTACATTTTTTTACAAAATGTATATAGTTTTTTTTATTTCTTACACCTGTTTTTTTTAAAGGTTTAATGAATTTTTTTAAATATACCCTTCAATTTTTTTACAAACAGAATGATTTTTTTTTATCTAAAGTATAGAGTTTTTTTCATTGCACTTTAAGATTTTTTTGATGTTAAATATTCTTTTTTTTAATAATCAAGTAATTTTTTTTTATTTAGTCCCCATTCTTTTTTTTGCTCCAACATTTTCTTTTTTTATTTGTAAGCTCAAGTTTTTTTAGGATGAGTACACACTTTTTTTGGCCTAGAAAGGCTATTTTTTTGATATGTTGGTCAGCTTTTTTTAATGATTTCTTAGGCTTTTTTTTAACACCGATAACAATTTTTTTCATTAAGGAAGCACATTTTTTTGATGGTTTTTCTAATTTTTTTTTGCAGAGAAGGCTTTTTTTTTTTGGTGGCTGAGCTAATTTTTTTAGTGTAAGAGCTAGTTTTTTTTAGTTGGGAGAGGCATTTTTTTTAGTAGGAACAGCATGTTTTTTTGCATACATTTCAGGATTTTTTTGTTCAATGTTAATTGTTTTTTTTTTGAGTAAAGTAAGTTTTTTTTGATGATGCTAGAGATTTTTTTAGTGGCCAGGTTATGTTTTTTTTTGTAATGTTAGCACTTTTTTTCTTTATCCTAATGGGTTTTTTTTAAGGTCAAACTTTCTTTTTTTATAGATCACTCTGACTTTTTTTTAGAAAACAAATATATTTTTTTATGAATTGAGAAATGTTTTTTTGTTAGAAGATTATTCTTTTTTTCTATGGCTGTAGCTCTTTTTTTGTAGCGCCTAACTGATTTTTTTAGTTTCACCTGGAAATTTTTTTGAAATATAGATTCATTTTTTTTCCCCAGATCCACTGATTTTTTTACTCTGGTGGGGGGCTTTTTTTTATTGGTGTTTTCATTTTTTTTTTTTAGTGACTGTGATTTTTTTTAAAGTGAGAGCCAATTTTTTTGGAAAAGATATTGTGTTTTTTTACTGGATGTAAAGTGTTTTTTTAAGGAAGATGATACTTTTTTTTGGATTTAGAAGGTAATTTTTTTAGTTGTGGGGTGAAGTTTTTTTAGGGAAAATTTATTATTTTTTTGTGACACTATTAACTTTTTTTTAACCTTAAGAAGAATTTTTTTTTTGATAGAGATGATGTTTTTTTTAGAACTGGTTTGACTTTTTTTTAGAACTGCAAACTGTTTTTTTCATAATCTAGTCCACTTTTTTTAGTGAAAACCTGTACTTTTTTTTTGCACAACTTCAGATTTTTTTTGAATGTCATGCTCTTTTTTTTAAGTCAGGGGACTCTTTTTTTTCGGAATAAAATGCAATTTTTTTTTCTTGGAGTCAATCTTTTTTTCAGCCTAGAGAAAACTTTTTTTCTGAGGATAAGAGATTTTTTTTAGGTGAAGGTGAGGGTTTTTTTAAGACACAGCATGAGTTTTTTTGAAGAAAAAAGGTTGTTTTTTTAGAAAGAATTTTGGATTTTTTTATTTCTGGCCTAGTATTTTTTTGGGCAATAATAACAATTTTTTTAATGGTGGAATTCAGTTTTTTTAGTTTCAGATGGAATTTTTTTTTCAAATTATATCATCTTTTTTTTAGCTTCTTACTGTCTTTTTTTGTGGCAGTAGGAATTTTTTTTTAGGCAGAAAACAGGATTTTTTTGATAAGTCCTAAAACTTTTTTTGAGCCTTCTCAGACTTTTTTTTCTGGAGAAGTCCAAATTTTTTTACCCTAAATATCCCTTTTTTTTTCCTCCACTGTTAATTTTTTTTTAAATCATGTTGATTTTTTTTTTGTAATTATTTTGAGTTTTTTTCTTTTTTTCCTAGGCTTTTTTTCACAAGTTTGTACAGTTTTTTTCCACTCAAATGTAAATTTTTTTTGCCAGCCTCATAATTTTTTTTACTACTATTAATTCTTTTTTTTACCATAGCCTGCTATTTTTTTTCCTTCAGAAACTAATTTTTTTTTATCTCTCCAATTGATTTTTTTTGCCTGTCATTTATTTTTTTTTTGAGTGTCATCCTAGTTTTTTTTGGAGTATATATTCTTTTTTTTTTAATCCTTGAAACATTTTTTTATACAAATAATATTATTTTTTTTATTTATAAATGAGATTTTTTTTCTCAAAGAGGAGATTTTTTTTATGACTTATTCAAATTTTTTTTGATCCAGAATTAAAATTTTTTTTACATTACTGTGGTGTTTTTTTTTCTTATTTACTATATTTTTTTGCTTCCCACTTACCCTTTTTTTTACCTGCCCTGCTCATTTTTTTAACAATAAATGCCAATTTTTTTAATATAGTATCTTTTTTTTTTTAGCAAATGATATATATTTTTTTCAACATACATTTTTCTTTTTTTTATTATCTTTTCTGCTTTTTTTTAAGGCATTTTCAAATTTTTTTGTTTATTACCACCACTTTTTTTGCTTGTTAAAACAGATTTTTTTTTTTTCTACCCTAAGTTTTTTTGATTCTGTGTGTCTGTTTTTTTGCCTCAGAATGGACATTTTTTTCAAATTTCTAGGAGATTTTTTTATTGCCGGCCTAGAGTTTTTTTTTTGAAAGCCATTATTTTTTTTATTCTCCTAATTTCTTTTTTTTTAAAAGCTAGTGCAATTTTTTTATATTCCATTGTATATTTTTTTTGTCACCACCACCTTTTTTTTTCACCTTTGTCTCTAATTTTTTTTTGCATTTTTTACTTTTTTTTTTGTTTGTTTCTTATGTTTTTTTCTATATTTATTTCCATTTTTTTTTTTATCAAGCTTCGTTTTTTTATCTTTAATCATCTCTTTTTTTTGTATTCATGTGTAGTTTTTTTGATTTTTTGGTGTCTTTTTTTTTTTCTTCAAATTCCGTTTTTTTAAAAACTTGGTATCTTTTTTTTTACTAAGGACCCAACTTTTTTTTGATGATATGTAAACTTTTTTTGGATTTTATTTTTTTTTTTTTTAATTTTTCCCATTTTTTTTTTTATCAGATTTCAATTCTTTTTTTCTTCCA